CGAGGCTGCGGGGGCCACTGCAGTCTAGCCTGGGTGGCAGAGTGAGACTCCAACTCCAAAAAAAAAAAAAAAGACAGGTTTCAACATGCCGGGAGAACTAAGGAACCAGGAAAGCAGGGAAGACTGCTGGTCCTCTGCCCCACAGTGAGCCCTCTACACAGATCGAACATCTCTATGCAATCCTAAGGACTCTGGGTTGCAACAAACCTAAACAAGCCAATAGAAAAGTAACTACACCTGAAGTTAACATAAACTTTCCCCCTCAATGTGCTGAAGCGATATAATAATTTTATGACACTTTATTTTCAGAGGGTGCTCATAATTTAAGTGTGATTTCATTCCCAAAACAGTCCTAAGTGGGAGATGAGGTAGTTATCTTCACCATGTTACAGCAATGGGAGAAAAAAAAGCATGTGTCTAAGGGTCTATCAATACTTATACTTAATTCAACTCCACAAACATGTTTGCGCACCTTCCACATATTAGACTGGGGTTAGGGACAGGCAGGGGGATAAAGATGACTTGTTCTGGCCCAAAGGCTTGTCTACTCATTCCACTCATTCTTTGAACAAACATGGGTTGTCCACCAAAAAATGCCTGGTCCCCTGGGTGTGGACTCTATCTCATACAGTTTGCATTTTAGTCAGAAGAGACAGACGTAACACATTACTAAACGAACACATACACATGCATTGAAAATAAATAACCACAACAAACAAACACAACTGCAACCCGTCCCATGGTGGTGAGTGCAATAAAGACTTAAAAAGGGTGGGATTCTTGGCAAAGGTTGTGCTCTGGTCACCTGCCACGGTGCCGGACCAGGTAGACACCTGCACTCGTGGGTCAGCTCTTGGAACTCTCAGAGCATCTGACCAGGCGTGGCATCCACACTCTACGACCAAGCATACAGTTCAGAAGCCAGGCAGGTTCACCCAAACTTCACACAGCTGGCATGCACCCGGGTATGTCTGACTCTAAGACACGTTTCTTAAGCTCAGCTAGTGGCTCCTGGTTCCCCAAAGCCTGGCAATCTACACTCAAAAACCCCACTAAGCTCCCCCTGGCCCTTGGAAGGAGTGGTGCACTGGTACCACGTGGGCAGGACTTTGCTCCCTCCCCAGGGGCCACTTCAGAGGGCTTGCTTGGGTTAGCCCCAGGGGCCCTACTGCGAGGCCAGGCCTCATTCAGGACCATATTCCAAACCTGGTCCGCAGAGTGCCAGCTGTCCCGGGCACTGTCACAGCGACCTTTGGTTTTAGGTAGCCCTGTTGAACGCTAACCTCACACAGTTCTCGCAGAATCTGTTCTCCAGCGGCGCTCTGAGCTGGGCATGATCACACTTTCCACTTTAGGGACGGCTCCTGAGGGCCGAGAAGTGGGAGGGCGCGGTCAGCGAAGAGGATACGACAGCCCTGCAGCCCTGCTGGGTCCTTAGGAGAAAAGAGGTGGCCATGGGAGGTGCTCTGAAAGCCCTGAGCCAACGAAAAGGCAGGTCATGTCCCCTCCCAAGGCACTGGGGGCATGAGAGGGGCTATCTGCAGGGGATGGAGTCCCAGAGATGCCCACCCTGCCTGCGCATGAGCTCCCGGGGAGGAGGGAACCAGGAGAGGAGAGAGTGAGGAAGGGGTGGGGCGGTCAGCGCTCGCCAGCCCTCCGGGAAGGCCTCCGGGAGGCAGAGCCACCCTCTAAGCAACATCCCAGGCCCTCCAGACGCCGGGCCGGCCTTATTTTGATCCAAGAGGCCTAGGTTTAAGGTGGAGACACCTCCGACCTCTTCGCGGCCCTGGGGGAGATCTCCGTGGAGACCCGCAGGTCCCAGTGAGCGTCTCCGCGGGGGAAAGCCTCCGCAGGGGTCTCTGGAAGCTTTCCATGGGGGTGTCTCCGTGGGGATCTCCAGGGTCCACGCGGCCCTGCGGGAGATGGCAAGCATCGAGGCCGGGCCGTCGCCGGCCTGCCTGGGGTCCCTGTGGCTGTGGGATCCCCACAGAGCTTCCTCAGGGTGCAGCCCGGGACTCGGGACTCCAGAGGCCAGCCTGGGATATGAAGGGTGCGTCACGTGGACGCGCTGCAATGCGCGCAGACAACGCGGGTCCGCTGAGACTTACGGAGCGCTCCCCGCTCCCGCCCGTGGTACAGCCCGGCTCCGGCACGGCCCCCCCCCTCACGCCCGCCGTGGTAGCGTCCGGGCGGGGCCCACCGTGGCCACGCCCCTCGGCGGTGCGCGTGCGCAGGTTTGTTTGCGGCAGTGCTGTAGGTGAGAGCTGGGCGCCCTGCGGGCGGGTAGCGACAGCAGCGAGCCCAGGTGAGGGGACGGAGAGTCCAGGTGAAGGAAAGGGGTAGGGGCCCAGGCAGGGGGGATGTCCATGTGAGGGGAGCGGTGTGCCCGGGTGAGGGGGTGAGAGTTCAGGTAAGGAGCCTGGAGGGGTCCAGGTGACGGGGGCGGGGACACGGGTGAGGGTGACGGACTTGAGCGGCCAGGTGAGGGCCAGGTGTAACCGGGTCCAGAGTGACTCCGGGTGTTTGGCGTCGCGGCCCCGCCCTCTGGTGGGCGTGCTGCCCCCTGGCCGAGCTGTCGTCCCCCCGCCCGTGGACGGTGTTGCACCGGCTGCCCGGGGTCGTGCCGGCGTGTGTGGTGCTCCGCGGTGCGCAGGGGGCGTGGGGGCCGAGCGCGGACGCCGACTTCGGGCCCCGTGAGCGGCGCAGACGCAGGACGGAGGGAAGGGAGAGCTGAGGCGGCGCCGTCGCGCGTGACTTCGGCTCCGCAGACCTGCCGGGCGGGTATGGTCCGGTCCCCTGTGTCCGAGACGTGGAGATGACTCCTCCAGAGCCTGGCCTGGCCTCCAGAGGAGGTGTCACGTGGGTGGGGTCTCTGCTGGTCACCAAGTTAGCTGGGGTGGGGAGGAGGGGGCGTCGGGTCAGGTCAGCATGGGGTAGGAGGAGACAAGTTTCTGGGTCAGGTGAGGACAGGGTGGGAGGGGACAAGGTTCTGGTCAGCAGGGTGTGGGGGAAGGGGGCCCTGGGTCGGGTGAGCTCAGGTGGGAGTTGGCTGGGCAGGGCCCTGACATTAGCTCTGGTTTGGGGGTGTGTGGATGTAGGGGAGCCGAGCTGGGACTCCAAGCTTTTGTAGATTCTTTGTGGGGGACTCCTCTCTGAAAGACTGGGGAGAGGTGGCTGTTTCTAAGGCCCTTTTGAGTTTACCTTCTGTGTGAAATCTTAGCTGTCAAGTTTCTGCTTATCTCTCTTCCTTAATTTTGTTTTTTTTACTTAAAACTTTTCAGCCCAGGGGTTCGAGACCAGCCTGGGCAACTTGGTAAGACTTCGTGTTTACAATAAATCACAAAAATTAGCCAGGTGTGGTGGCCTGTATCTGTAGTCCCAGCTACTTGGAAGGCTTAGGTTAAAGGATCGCCTAAGCCCAGCAGGTTGAGGCTGTGGTGGCCGTGAGCGTCCTTCTTGAGCTCCAGCCTGGGTGACAGAGTGAGACTCCATCTCAAAAAAAACTTTTCAGGAAGGTTGGGCGAGGAGAAAGCACTGATGACGTGTTGGTGACGAGGGAACACCAGGCAGCTACCCCTTCTGAGCTCTGGCAATTCAGTGTCTATCTCAGAGAAGCAGCACTATAGCCTGGCCACCATGCTCCAGGCTGTAATTGCTGTGGAGGTCCTTCCCAGCAGCCAGTCTCTCTAAAAAGAACTAAAATAACAGGTTCTCTGGGTGACCTCAGAGCCTACAGAGTCTCAGGTTACACTTAACTCATTAATGAAGGATCCAGCAGGATGACATGCCAGTTCAAAACACGCTCACAAAACTAGAATTTTTGTAGTGAGTGAATAAAAGGAATGCTGAAATGAGACTGCTAGTTAGGTACAAAATCGGCAAGTATCTTACATGCAACGAAACCACACTTTTGGGGTTGTTTTTCTTCTGGGTAGAAAGGAGAATTAACTTTTCAGGTTGTGAAATGTATGGGCCCCAATCAGCGGTAAATAGTGAGTTCAGTTACTTTTCCTACAAAGTTAAGGGATTCTCAGGGACTCTGTAAAGCAGTGATCTAGCATAGCCAAAAAAAGCAATAAACCATTTTTTTTTTCTTTTTGATTTCATCTCCAAATTTTGGATAAATTATCTTTTTTTTTTTTTTTTTGAGTTGGAGTCTCATTCTGTCGCCCACACTGGAGTGCAGTGGCCGCTCCCGGCCACCACAGCCTCGACCTGCTGGGCTCCGGTGATCCTTCCGCCTCCGCCTTCCAAGTAGCCGGAATTACAGGCATGTGCTACCACGCCCGGCTCATTTTTTGATTTATTGTAGAGATGAGGTCTCGCTGCCCAGGCGGGTCTCGAACCCGCGGGCTCAGGCAATCCACTCACCTCAGCCTCCCAAAGGCACGGGATTACAGGCTGAGCCACTGAGCCCGGCTTGAATGAATTATCTTAACATAAGAATACTAGTTCCTGTAGCAGTTTATTCCTGAACAGGAGGAGCTTACAGATGCATGACAGAGCTCAAGGGTCCTGGTGGTCACTGAGCCCCAGTTCTAGGTCACACTGCAGCATCATCAGAGCTAACGCTCTTATTCATTTGCTTGCATTCAAATTTTTAAAAAATGCATGGTCCAGTGCAATAGAAGAGCTTAAACCCCGACTTCTTGTAAGAGAAGAATAAGATATTTGTAGATACATATTTTTGCCAAAGAAATTGAAGATCTGCTTCAAGTCAGGAGATGGGGCTTTGGCTGGTGTTGAGATGGCAGCCCCTCTGGGACTTGCTTCTTTTCTGATTGCAGTTCCTTAACTGCTGAGATGAAGGTGCTGGCGTTGAAGGACTCCAGACCCTTCTAGATTGAAAAAATAGGATGAGTCTGTGCTGGTTGGTCTCCGTTGTACCCAGGAAAGGTGCAGTAGCTTCCAGTTACACATTACACTTAAGGCTTCAGGCCACACGCAGGAGTCCTTAAGTCTGGAGCTTGGCGCCAGGCAGACCCACAGCAATGAAATGGTGGTGACTCCAGTGTCCCTTTTTCACATCTAAGGTGTGAGGGCTGTGGTTGGGTCAAGGAGCAGAAATAGAAGCAAAAGGAGAACTGGAGACTTTCTCACAGAAGGCCTGCCAGAACAAGGCCTGCCTTCACTTCTGTGACTATCCGTCTGGTGACGCGGCCAACCCCAACTGTTTCTAGTGGAACAGTTGACGCCACAGAGAGGGCAGCAGGGCTCTGCAGGACCCCAGGGAGGGCTAACTGGCTGTCTAGGCTGAATCCCAGCACCCTGCAACTGGGCCTCACCTTCTACCCTCACGCTTAGTCAGTTGAGGAATTCACCTCCCTGGTGCATCCCTGGCTGGAGGGTGCTGATTGGCACTAACCAGTCTCAGAGATCCACAATAATAAGTTAGACAATAGCACCAGCCTGCTCGGAAACTTCCTTTGCCCATAACTGTATAGAAACACACATAATTAGGAGGTTTTGAGCAAAGAATCAGAATGGGGATTGGTTATAGGTTTTGAAGGGGTGGTATGTATTCCAGTTTTTATGATCTGTTGATTCTGTCTTTAATATGCACTTACTCAGTAACTGCCAAGAGGGTTTGCCTAGTCTCAGGTCTGGCTCTCCTGCTTCTGTTCCAATGCCTGACTTTAACTCGTTTGCACTTCTTTCTTTAGATACGATAGTATTTCCAAATAGGTACCTAGAAAGTTTGAAGACCTGGAAGCCATTTTCTCTTCTGGTAAGGATTAAGTACACTAGCTGAATGGTCCTGGCTTGTAGTAGGTGCTTCATGTCCTTTTGTTCTGTGTGTGTTTTTCTTTCTTTCTTGATCAGACACTGGAGCCCAATGTGGTTAAGAAAGAAACTTGTTTGAATGGTGAAACCAAGGTCAGATCCACTAAGCTGACTACCCTACTTGATCCTTGGTCCTCATGTACCGGAGTCCCTCCCAACCCAACCAAACCAAAGATTTCCTGAAGCACCACGTGGCTCACCATGTCCACTGGGGTGGATTTGGGTCATTGCTTTAGGTAGAGCTTTCCAGAGTCAGGGGGACCCTCCCATTTCAAGGCAAAGGTCCCATAGAAGTTGACTGTCTTGGCCAAGCCCACATTGATGCAATTATGGCAAAATGGGACCTGTAACCCAGACCTCATGACTGACTTGCAGAAAAGAATAAAATTTAGGAGAAATCCATGTTTTAACAGTTTGCAGTTTTGTGCAAGGGTAACTTTTTTAATGGATTGCCATTCAGCGCTTGATAGTGTGGCCTCCTTTCCCCCCAGCCTAGATTTTGTTTACCATGGTGCGCTGTCTCCCCTCCAGGCCTTAGATGGCACTTGAAGTTGGTCTACTTCTGTGAAGTGCATGGGGTTTGGAAGGTGACTTGCTGTAGATCAGATACTAGAGCCAAGTGCTCTTGCCAGCCCCTTAACACGGTGTTAAACTTGATCTGTGAGCTGGAGGGTGTTTGGAGATGTGTGAGAACATTGGAGTCTTGCCATACGTGACCAGAGGCAGGGGCTGCAAGGTATTGGCCATGGACAGAGTGGCCTCAGTTGTCGTCCGTGACATCCTCAGAGAGCACTCCTCTTGACCCTGAAAACACACACGAGGGACAGAACAGCACGGGAGCCATCAGGAATCCGGGCAGAACGTGAATACCAACAAATTCATGTTTGTGTTCACACACAGCTAGCCTGTGTGATAGCTGAAATGTTAGTGTAGGAACAGGAAAACAAATGCTGTTATTGTTTTGCCTTTGATTATATGACCATATCAAACCAAGATTTAGTAGTTATCAGCATTTCCTTTGTTTTACTTGCATTAGGTCCCAGGACTCAGATGTGGTGTATGCTTGTGAGCTAATGCTTTCTGCATTCTTGAGGTGTGGTCACAGTGACTATTTTCACTGAATAATGCTTGACCAGTTTTTGCTAAATTATCACAGATGAACAGCTCCTTCATGCTCCTGGCATTAGTCCTGCTGTGCACAGTTGGGGCCCCCTCCAGAGAGAGGAGGGCCCAGCTGTGTGGGGAGCTTGTGCTCCCAGTCCTGCTCTCTGTCTTCTGAGTGTGGATGACTAGAGTTCTCTGCTGTTAGAATCTAGTCATATATTCAACAAGTATTTCTTGAGCATCCACTGTGGGCTAAGCACTGCAGTGGAGATGTAATGAAGGACAGGCACATGTGGCCTTGCCCTCAGAACTTGTTGCCCAGCAGAAGTGAGGATGTAGGAAGAGTGCATTTAAGATCCTATAGTGGAGGAATACAGGGTGCATCGGGGGCTTGTAGGAAAGATACTAACCTAGTCCATACCGCTGGTCTGGGAGGGCATCTGGAGCAAATGGCCTCTGAGCCAAGACCTGAAGAGTAAGTTGGAGCTCACTGTACTGGGGGCAGGGACAAAGTAAAGATGTATCTGGAAGAAGGCTCAGCATCTGTAAAGTCCCAGAGGTGAGGGAGAACGTGGTACTTTCAGAGAATTGGAAGATGTAGCATGGAGTGAGATGGGAGGGGTGGTGAGAGTAGAACTCAGTAAGGTAGCTAGGTTATACTCCGAAGATTTCTGTAGGACACGGTCAGTTCAGACCTATTCTGCTGGCATTGGGAAGCCATTTCAGAATCAGCCAAGAAATACCACAAGGAATAGGAACTTGATTCTTATAACATTATGACAAACGAGATGACTAGATGTAGTGGCTTACACTTGTAAGCCCAGCACTTTCAGAGGCTGAAGCAGGAGGATCACTTGAGACCAGGAGTTCAAGACCAGCCGAGCAATATAACAAGACTCCATTTCTACAAAAGATTAAAAACTTAGCCAGGCATGGTAGTGTACACCTGTAGTCCCAGCTACTCAGGAGGCTGAGGTGGGAGGATTGCTTGAGCCCAGGAGTTCAAGGCTGCAGTGAGCTATGATCACACCATTCCACTCTAGCCTGGGAGTGACAGAATGAGACCCTGTCTCTAAAAAAATAAATAAAATGAGGTGTCCATCTTCTTATGAGGAAGCAGGAAAGTACTTAAGTGTGTCAAGCATAGACTTGAAACCTATTTTATGCGATCACCAAGTTTCGTTAAACTTAAGGTAGAGCCGGGCACACTGGCTCATGCCTATAATCCCAGTACTTTAGGAGACTGAAGTGAGAGGAATGCCTGAGTTCACGGGTTCAAGACCAGCCTGGGCAACTTGGCAAGACCTCATCTCTACAATAAATCAAAAAATTAGCCTGGCATGGTGCATGCCTGTAGTTCCAGCTACTTGGCTGAGGTAGAAGAATTGCCTGAACCCAGCAGGTCTAGGCTACGGTGACCGTGAGCATGCCACTGCACTCCAGCCTGGGCAGCAGAGTGAGACTCCGACTCAAAAAAAAAACCAAAACAACTTAAGGTAGAATAGGAAATGGGTTGGTTGTGGATAGCATAAATATTAAAAAAAAAACACAAGGAAAGAATGAACTTTTGTTTTAGCGTTGTTGCAGAGAAAAGTTACTAATTTGTTGAACATACATCCATATGGTTCACAATCTTTTCCCTGTCAGGAGGCAGCCAGTATTACTAAGAGGAAATGAGTTTTTGAAACAAGGTGCTAATTATGTGTATCCATGGCCCCTAGGTCAAGTGATCATTATGTACTTATCTACTTAGGGGACTTTTTTCATGCACAAATTTATTTAAAATATTACATAAAATTACCTTCAGGCTATATGTATTGCTGTATAAGAAACAAAAACTTTTTACATTTAGATTTGGATCCCATCCCCAAGATATCTCATTATATATATATATGCAGATATTTCTTTTTCTTTTTTTTTGAGTTGGAGTCTCACTCTGTCACCCAGACTAGAGTGCAGTAGCCGCTCCCAGCCACTGCAGCCTCGACCTGCTGGGCTCCAGTGATCCTTCTGTCTCAGCCTTCCAAGTAGCTGGAACTACAGGCATGTGCTACCACGCCCGGCTAATTTTTTTTTAATTTATTTATTGTAGGGATGAGGTCTTGCCAGGTTGCCCAGGCGGGTCTCGAACCTATGGGCTCAGGCAATCCACGCACCTCAGCCTCCCAAATGGCGGGATTACAGGCTGAGCCACCGAGCCCAATTTATGCAAATATTTCTTTTTTCTTTTTTTCTTTTAAAGATGTGGGGTACAATTCAGGATTTGGTATATAAGTGGTCATCATACAGGTAAAGTTTAGGCTTCCTTTGGTCCCCACTTTGCCTGGTTTGAGATCAGGTACCCTTATTGATGTTGTGTCCCTCCACCCCACTCCACCCCCACCCTGGCAGTATCCCAGTACTGCCAGGCAGCTTAATGGACTTTTCCATGATTAAGATGAGAATCCTCACCTTGAGTTTGAGAGCTGGAGAAGGCCATAAAGAGTCCCTGGTCCAGGGTAGGGCACAGGCTTCATCTGCTGGTACCTCAGATGGGGAAGGGCACCCAGTGGGTTGAGCAAGTAGGAGCCCGTGAACTATTTGTAGGGATTGCCCTGGTTGTCTGAAGATGGCCTAACGTGGACGCTTCCTTCTCAGATGGAACCTCAGATGGAGGCTCTTGTTTCAATGAGAGCATACTGAGGACTTATTTTTTTCCTCCATTGTTCATAAGGATGTTTATAAGGACATCTAGACGGCATTGCATGATGATAAGCATGATGCTAAAACACCCATTTGAATGCCTGCTGTGCTCTAGGCATTGCTCTAGTCCTTGACATCCATCACCACCTCTAGTGTTCACTGTGCCACTTTCTATGTGAGAAAACTGAGCTCCAGAGAAGGACAGAAGCCATGTGGCCAGTGAGCAGCAGAACAGGGATTTGAACCCAGGCATGCCCGCTCCCAGTGCCCTTTTTGCACACAGTCCTGTTCGTAAATAACTTCTCTACCTTGGAGTACTCGGGTAATGTTCTTGTCTCTGGTTCTGGAAGTAAACTGCTTTAACAAAGTATGTTCCAGTGTAATTATTTAAGTGTATTTCATCCTGTGGAGCCTGTGAATTGTGTAACTTATCGACAGACCGCCATGAAGCTAGAACTTTGTTGAGGAATACCCGTAGGAAGAGCATAGGACCATGTGTTTATGTTAGCAATGTTCTGGCCTTCTGTTCATGGCTAGACCCCCATCTTTTTCGGGGGGGTGGGTTGGAGTCTCACTCTGTCCCCTAGGCTGGAGTGCAGTGGCACACTTATGGCCACTGCAGCCTCGACTTGCTGGGCTCAAGCGATCCTTCAGCTTCAGCCTTCCAAGTAACTGGAACTACAGGTGCACTACTCCACCTGGCTTATTTTTTTTGTTTATTGTAGAGGTCTCGCCAAGTTGCCTAAGCTGATCTCGAACCCCTGGGCTCAGGCAGTCCTCTCACCTCCACCTCCCGAAGTGCTAGAATTACAGGTGTGAGCCACCACGCCTGGCTGACCTCTCCATCTTTAATGTTATTTTCTTTCCTTCTCCTCTGCCAGTGAGGATGTTATCTTACTGTGTTTGTGTATCTTTGTAAGTGAATTAAGAATAAAACGGGCGTGGTGACTCACTCCTATAATCCCAGCACTTTGAGAGGCCAAGGTGAGAGGATTGCTTGAGCTCACAGGTTTGAGACCAGCCTGGGCAATTGACGAGTCCTCATCTCTACAATAAGTTAAAAAATTAACCAGGCTTGGTAGTGTGTGCCTGTGGTTCCAGCTCCTTGGAAGGCTGAAGCAGAAGGATCACCTGAGCCCAGGAAGTTGAGGCTGTGGTGGCCGTGAGCATGCCATTGCACTCCATCCTGGTCAACAGAGTGAGACTTCAACAACAACAAAAAGAATAAGGTATAGAATTGAGAAGACATTTTTTATAATGTTTTTGAGTTACTGGGGTAGGAATTGATGTGTCCTGGCTTCTATTCAGTCAACATAAAGTGACTTTTTTTTCTTTAGATTGAAGACGGGTACATGACGATCCCAGGGACAGCTGCCCTGACTTCATTTTCTTGGACGAGTCGCAGCATCGGTCCCAGAAGTCCTGTGTTGGCCCCAGAACTCCCAAAGAATACAGTTTAGGACAATGAATCCAGCAAGTGATGGGGGCACATCAGAGAGCATTTTTGACCTGGACTATGCATCCTGGAAGATCCGCTCAATGCTTGTGGTTGCTGGCTTTATCTTCTACCTGGGTGTCTTTGTGGTCTGCCACCAGCTGTCATCCTCCCTGAATGCCACTTACCGTTGTTTGGTGGCCAGAGAGAAGGTATTTTGGGACCTGGCAGCCACACGTGCAGTCTTTGGTGTTCAGAGCACGGCCGCGGGCCTGTGGGCTCTACTGGGGGACCCTGTGCTTTATGCCAACAAGGCACAGGGCCAGCAGAACTGGTGTTGGTTTCATGTCACAACAGCGACAGGATTCTTTTTCTTTGAAAATGTCGCTGTCCACCTGTCCAACTTGGCCTTCCGGACGTTTGACTTGTTTCTCGTTGTTCACCATCTCTTTGCCTTTCTTGGGTTTCTCGGTTCTGTGGTCAATCTCAGGGCTGGGCACTATCTGGCTATGACCACCCTGCTCCTGGAGATGAGCACCCCCTTTACCTGCATTTCCTGGATGCTCTTAAAGGTAAGTGTTTCCTGTGTGGCTTCTGCATGTGTCAGTGAAAGATGACATGCTGAGCAGCGTACCTGGCCCATTTAATTTTGCTTTAGAACTTGGTTGTGGACTGTGCCATAAACTCACCAGCAAACTAAATTACAACACACGCATTCAGTAGCAAACTCATTTTGGTTGAGTGCCGTCTTGGTTGTTGTTGTTGAGTTGGAGTCTCACTCTGTTGCCCAGGCTGAAGTGCAGTGGAACACTCACAGCCACCCCAGCGTCAACCTGCTGGGCTTAGGCAATCCTTCCGCCTCAGCCTTCCAAGTAGCTGGAATTACGGGTGCATGCTACTACATCTGGCTAATTTTTTTTTATTTATTGTAGAGATGCGGTCTCGCCAAGTTGCCCAGGTTGGTCTTGAACCCCGTGGGCTCCCAAAGTGCTGGGTTTACAGGCTGAGCCACCGAACCCAGCCCATTTTCTTGAATTTAAATCTTTTAGGCTTTCTACTCTGTGGGGAAAGAAAACTCAGTGGATCTTATGACTCAATAGGTAGCATTTGTAAGCTCTAGAAAACATGATTTTTTTTTCTTTCAATACTTAAAAAAAGGAGGTAATATATGTGTGATATACACATCTTTTTCGCTATTTATTTATTTATTTAGAGTCGGAGTCTCACTCTGTTGCCCAGGCGGAGTACAGTGGCTCAAAATCATGGCCACCACAGCCTTGACCCCCTGGGCTCAGATGATCCTTCCACCTCAGCCTTCCAAGTAGCTGGGACTACAGGCACATGCCACCACTTGTGGCTAGTTTTAAAATTTTTTTTTTTTTAATTTATTTTAGAGACAAGGTCTTACCATGTTTCCCAGGCTGGTTTCAAACTTCTGGGTTCAGGCAGTCCTCTCACCTTAGCCTTCCAAAGTGCTGGGATTACAGGCATGAACCGTCATGCCTAGCTTACTTTTTTATTTTCCTTTATTTTTATTTTTAGTCGGGGTCTCACTCTTCGCCCAGGCTAGAGTGCAGTTGCACACTCATGACTCGTCACAGCCTCAACCTCCTAGACTCAGGTGATCCTTCCACCTCAGCCTCCCAAGGCGCATGCTACCATGCACAGCTAATTTTTTAATATTTTTATAGACTCGAGGTCTCACTATGTTGCTTTTGCAGAGATGAGGTCTCGAACTCCCAGCCTCAAGTATTCCTCCTGCCTCTACCTCCCTAAGTGCTATAATTACAGGCATAAGCTATCATATCTAGTCTTAAAAAATAATCTTTAGCATATTTTGCTATCTTTTATGACCTATTATATTACATTGTTCACAGGATATCTTATATGAAACTTGAAATACTGCGAATGTTTAACCAGTCAACATGAATGGTTCATGTTATTGAGCATTTCTTGTGTATAGGACATTGGTAGTCTTTGAGAGGAAAAATAACCATAAATATCACTCCTGCCCTTAGGATCTAGTTGGAAAGATGGTATCAGTCCATCAAAGGTGCATTAACAATATAAACGGTGCGGACTGTTCACAGGTAACAAACGTGGACACCAGCTGTGAGTCAGCACCTGGGAGCTCAGAGAGACTAGTCCTGCTGGCCCTGGCTGGGTCTAAACAGGCTGTATAAGCAGTTACAGGATCGTGTAGAGAGCTCATGGACCCAGATGAGGACCAGCCTGGAGCTGCAGGTGAGGCTCACCTGAATCCTAGGGAATGAACATGGGTGAGCTGGCTCCATCATCACCAGCATAGAGCATCACGAGGTAGCCATGGAGCTACAGTTCCCACAGCAGGCCAGCTGGAGAGATCCTTGCGAGGGTATGGCTTAGAGGGTGGCAGGAGGTATTTGGGGGCAGGTATGATATGGGTAGACCATACCAAGAAGGAAGGGTTGAAATGATGGATAGATTGAAAAAGCCACATAAATGGCCCAGCCACTGAATTCCCTTGCTGAGCAAATGAATGAAAGTGAAGCTGCCAGTCTCAGCATGGGCTCATTTTAGGAAGATACTGTGATCTGGGAGCCCATCATTACCTGCCCAGGCTTTTGGCATTCCAGTGTTCTCTGTGTGTGTCCTCTCTACAAGAGTGGAGCCTTCTCAGGGACTCAGGGCAGTACTATGGCTTCTCTGGTTTCTCTGGTTGGAGTCAGTGTGCAGTGCAGGGGTGTTGCTGGAAGAAGAGGCTTTGGCCCACTCTCTGCCTTGCCCACTCCTCTCACACGTGGAAACACTGGATTTCAGAAGTCACTCAGCTGTGTATTACTCAGCAGAAAATAGTGTTCTTGAAAGCAGAGGAGCTTGCTCACATTGATGTGCTAAAGAATACAGTAGACAGTGGCCTACATTAAATCCCACAAGAGATCGCGTGATGGGATAATTTGTGTGTTTTGAGGAATATGTTAATAGTTATCTTAGCCGGGCTCGGTGGCTCAGCCTGTAATCCTGCGCCTTGGGAGGCTGAGGTGAATGGATTGCCTGAGCCCGCGGGTTCGAGAACCTCCTGGGCAACTTGGCGAGACCTCATCTCTACAACAAATCAAAAATTAACTGGGCGTGGTAGTGTGCACCTGTAGTTCCAGCTACTTGGAAGGCTGGGGCAGAAGGATTGTCAGAGCCCAGCAGGTCGAGGCTGCAGTAGCTGGGAGTGGCCACTGCACTCCAGTCTGAGTGACAGAGTGAGACTCCAACTCAAAAAAAAAATAGTTATCTTGCATTTTTATTATTTTTTGTTCTTTTTAAAATTTATCTTTGTATAGAGATAGGGTCTTGCTATGATGCCCAGGCTGATCTCAAACTCCTTAAGTGATCCTTCCACCTCAGCCTCCCAAAGTGCTCAGGTCACAAGCAACAAACAGAAATCTTTCCTGTCTCTCCAGTCCCCAGGGGAAACCAGTATTGGCTATTCTCATTTATTTGTGCTTCTCATGGAGCCAGGTGAGGGGGACAGTGCCTCCTGTAGGACTTGTTAATGCAGGCATCTCCAGCAGTTCATACTCCTTAGGTGTGGTGGTGAGGACAGACTCCATGAGTGACCACTTGAGTGAGAGGCTTTATTTGGGGGTTTTGTATGTTCTCTAAAGTTTTTAGGATGCTGTTTGTGCAGGAAGGATAAACTTAAATGCTTTTATCTTTACAAAACATATTCTTCTCAGTACTTGTGCACTTCTGTCAATCCTGTTTGCTTTCATGAGCAGTAACGCATGCTGCAGCAGGCTCTATGCCAGGCACTGGGATATAACAAGGACGACTAGTGGTCCTCTGGAACTGGAATCTGTGAGTGGACTTGCGTGTGTCCATGCACCAGTGCACACATGATGACAAAGGATTCTGGAAGCTGGAAATTTGTGAGGGGCAGACCTACATGCAACCATGCTTCTGTACACATGTGAGAGAAGGTTCTGGGAGCTGGAATCTGTGAGGGGCAGACTTGTGTGTAGTTGTGTTGCGGTAGTACACACATGGGTGACAGGTTTCTGGTAGGGGCAGACATGCATGTGGCTGTGTCTTTTCCTGTGTTTTTTTCTCAGCCCTTTTGTTTATTTGCTAAAATCTCAATATCTTTAGTTGCTCTCACTAGTGAGTGGAAACCCACTTGGTGTGTGAGATTTTCTGTGTCCTAGTAGCTCCACTCGTAGGTCTGTGCCTAACCCTAATGTACCCATATGTTCACTTGAAAAGAGTACTGGGATCATCTTAGCTGCACTGTTCATTTGGCTCCAGACTGAATCATACCCAAGTCTCACCATCCATGGAAAGGCATATGAGCTGGGTTTGTCCACACAGTGGAAGGGTGGACACTGATTTGGATGGTTTACACATATACATTGTTGAGAGAAATTAGCCAAACCCAAGAGTACATATTATGTGATTTCATTTTATATACAGTCATGTGTCACTTAACATCGGGGCTGTGTTCTGAGAAACGCATCATTAGGCCATTTTGTCATTATGCAGACATCACAGTGTGCACTTACGTATACCTTGGGTGGTGTAGCTAACACACCTAGGCTGCATGGTGTAACCTACTGCTCCTAGAATACAACCCTGTATGCCTTGTTACTGTACTGAATACTGTAAATAATTATAACATAATGGTAAATATTTGAATCTGAACATGGAAAGGTATAGTAAAAATATGACATAAAAGATAAAAAATGGTATACCTGTGTAGGGCATCCACCATGAAGGGAGCTGATAAGACTGGAAGTTGCTCTGGGTGAATCCGAGAGTGGTGAGTGGGTATGAAGGCCTAGGACACTGCTGTAACTACTGTGGATTTTATGAACACTGCACACTTAGGCTACACTAAGCTTATTAAAAAATAACTTTCTCGCATGAGCTCAGGGGTTTGAGACCAGCCTGGGCTACTTGGCGAGACCTCATCTCTACAAGAAATCAAAAAATTAACCAGGCATGGTAGCACATGCCTTTAGTTCTGGCTACTCAGAAGGCTGAGGTAGAAGAATCGCCTGAGCCCAGCAGGTCAAGGCTGCGGTGGCCAGGAGCGTGCCACGGCACTCCAGCCTGGGCGACAGTGAGACTCCGACACACACACAAACACAGAAAAAATAAGTAACCCTTTTCAATCATAACCTTAATTTACTGTAACTTTTTTATTTCATAAACCTTAACTTTTTAAAACTGTTTTACTCTTTTGTAATAACAACTTAAAAACACATTGTACAGCTATACAAAAATATAGCCTTATTCTATAAGCTTTCTTCTATTTTCAAACTTTTTTACTTTTTATATCTTTTTGTTAAAAACAGACACAAACACATTAGCCTAGGTCTACACAGGGCCAGGATCGTCAGTTTCACTGTCTTCCACCTCCACATCTTATTCCACTGGAAGGTCTTCAGGACCGTAACATGCATAGAGCTGTCATCTCCTGTGATAACAGTGCTTCTTCTGGAACACTTCCTGAAGAACCTGCCTGAGGTTGTTTGACAGATAACTTCAAAATAAGTAGAAAGAGTACACTTTAAAATAACAGTAAGGATCACCTGAACCCAGCAGGTTGAGGCTGCAGTGGCCTTGAGCCTGCCACTGCGCTGCAGCCTTGGTGACAGAGTGAGACTCTGACTCAAAAAATAAGATAACAGTAAAAAGTATAGTAAATACTAGGCCACAGTAACTTTTTGTTCATCATAATTATGTAGGATGCCCGTCATATAAGCAATCAGTCCTTGACTGAAACAGGCACAGAGCCTAGATGCAGCTATGGGTGCAGTTGTCCGGCCTCACCTGGATCTGGGCTCATCTGGTGCTTCCACTGCAGGTCTGAGGGCAATGTGAGATGGGGGACATACCTGTGTCAAAGTCTAGTCTTACCCTTGCCACCTTGGGACCTGGTGATGAAGGCCAGGTGGCAGAATGACCATACTGTTTATCACCCACACATTGCCAGGGACTGGCCCAGGCAAACTGGGGTCTGCAGTCACATCTACAACTGGGAACTGACTACATTTGTCACATTTGTGCCTTCTGCTTTAGACTAAGAACCTCCATGAACTTATAGCCTAATCCTTGTAGTTTCACATACAAGGAAATAAACTATCAACACCTCATGTTTGGTTTTAATCCCACCTCACTTAACCATCCAGACTGATGATCGCAGGTTCTTCTGGTGTGTGTGTTTTCCTCTGTTTCCTTTAATTTGGAGACTCCAGGCTTATTTTAGACCAGGGAAAGTATGTGGTCACAACCTGCCTCAAGGTGGCCCCAAACACAGGTCTGTAGTTGGATGGGGCAAACTGTTTGTGGAAAGCCCTGTGGCTTCTGAAGGTGGTGTGAGCATGAGCATTGAAATGCGGAATACTTGATTCAGCCTGCAGTTGAACAGTCATGTAGCACAAAGCCTATTTTATAATAAGTGTTGAATATCTCATGTAACTCATTGAATACTATACTGAAAGTAAAAAGCAGAATGATAGTGTAAGTACTCAAAGTATGGTTTCTACTCAATGCCTGTCACCTCTGCACCATCATAAAGTAAAAAGATTGTAAGTCAAACCATTGCAAGTTGGGAACCATCTGCAAAAGCTAATATACCCGAGGTTTTAAATATTTTAAATTGCCAGAAAAAAATTTAAAGTTAGAATATTTTGGAGGCATATTGTCTTAGCTCAGACTGCCCTAGCAAACCACCATAGACTAGCACCTTAAACAACAGAAATTTCTTTTTCGCTGCTCTGGAGGCTGCAAGTTCAAGATCAAGGCACTGGCGGTGTCTGGCGAGAACCCACTTCCTGGCTAACAGGCGCCAGCCTTCTCACTGTGCTCTCACATAGAGGAGAGGGAGGGTCTGGTTTCTTGTGGCACTAGCCCCATCATAACCTCATCTCACTCTAATCATCTCCCAAAGGCCCCACCTCCAAATATCACTGTATTGGAAGTTAGGGCATTGACATCTAAATTTTGAAACAGACATTTGGTGCGTAACAGGTATTATGTACAGAAAACTTCATCATCATGGTGTTAGGAAAAAGCATGGATGTGTCTAACAGTGGGAGAAGGTTTGGTTTTTTGGTTTTTTTTTTTTTTAGTTGAATTCTTATGCTGTCGCTCAGGCTGGAGTACAGTGGCATACTCACAGCTACCACAACCCCAACCTGCTGGGCTCAGACAATCCTTCTGACTTAGCCTTCCAAGTACCTGGAACTACAGGTGCATGTATCATGCCCAGCTAATTTTTTGATGTATTGTAGAGATGAAGTCTTGCCAAGTTGCCCAGGCTGGTCTTAAACCCCTGGGCTCAGGCAATCTTTTCACTGCCTCCCAAAGTGATGCAATTACAAAGTAATGAGATTTTTCATGAAATTATTTTTCGGCACATTCATAGTATTTCAAGCAACCAACGAGTTCCTTGTTTTTCTTAGTCTTAGTTTCCCTATACATTTTTTAAGGTAATCTCTTGAATCATCAATTTTTTTTGTCAGAGCTGTGTGTACATATTTTTATGACATTATGAGAATACATTTCCTTTATTTGATCTAATGACTCTCAGAAGTTGGTTTATAGGATCCTCTTCAAGCTGTTGCAGATGTATCTCTAGTAAAGTCAGCTCCTTTTCCTGAGACCACTGCTGGTTGCTGCCTGGGTGCAGCAGCCCACCCCATCTCTTGTCTGATCTCAAGGTGGTCTCTAGTCCAGTTCCCCCATCCCTAACTTCTAAGTTTCTTTCTGGCCAAGCTTTAGACTGTCTGGTGCTGAGGAGGCCTGGCTGCCAGGTCCTGCCTCCCATGGTAATAATTATCATCTTCAAGTTCTCTGTTCTGGTTTAGCTATGACTGCTGGAAACTATTTTTAATGTAAATTTAGCATAATTTTAAGGCAAGCCCATTTTGGTCTGTGGCCAAGGGTTAAACAAACAAATTAGGAGACATATTTCACCCTCTATTTCTTCTAACAGGTTTTTCTCCCAGGGTCTAGGTGTGAGAGTTTAACATACATATTTCTTTAGTTTTGCTAAATAAATATTGCTTATTTACTTAATTTGTGCAAATTCAAGGGAAAAAGATTGAAGTGAGATTGAAAGGAAGATTGAGTTTTGCTTTAAGGAGCAGAAGTCAGAGAGCAAGAGGAACAGCAGGTGCACAGCAGAGAAGGACGCACCCTGCTGGCCAGGCTGTGCAGAGCCAGCGCCGGTAAGAGCATATAGCCTTGGAACAATCCCGGTGCTTTGAAATGAATTTGTTATGTTTGGCGAAGTAAGGTAGCAAATGCCGTTTTAAAATGTGAAGGATGAGTTTTAACAGTTTCATATTGACTTCTGTGTCTATCTGTCTCCCTGCAGGCTGGCTGGTCCGATTCTCTGTTTTGGAAGCTAAACCAGTGGCTGATGATCCACATGTTTCATTGCCGCATGGTCCTGACCTACCACATGTGGTGGGTGTGTTTCTGGCACTGGGATGACCTGACCAACAGCCTGTACCTGCCTCATTTTGCACTCTTCCTCGTTGGACTGGCTCTGCTCACACTAATCATCAATCCATATTGGACCCAGAAGAAGACTCAGCAACTTCTCAATCCAGTGGATTGGAACTTTGCACAGACAGAAGCCAAGGGAAGTTGGTCAGAAAGGGCCAATGGTCAGGTGCTGCAGAAGAAGAAGTCCTAACAGCTCGGGGGCCAGCTGCCTCTGAGATGCCAGTGGACGCAGGCACACGGATTCTGTGAAGCTCCATGAATAGTGACTTTTGAATTAATGAGGTAGTGACTGTTTTGTGTTCAGTTCTAAGTGAAATACTAACTTTCTTTCTCATTAGTATTAATTCTGACGTAGCCACAAAGTATTTGTAAGGTCCTGATTCACCTTGATTTGCAAATTTTTTGCCATCCTAATTTTGTGACTTTTCCGGCTGATTCTGTAAGCGTAGCCAATGGTAGACCATGTTCAGCATCAAGGAAAGGAGTCCACGGTGTCAAGGCATCACCTGTGGAGTAGGGAGTGGCTTTGTCTGAATACTTGAAGTGACTTCATATTGAAGTGCCACCTGGTGGATGGGGCAGGTCAGCACAGAGTCTTTCCAGTCACTCGCCCACATGCTGTGTGTTTTATCCCGAAATCAATTATTTTTTGTTGTAATGAACTGGCCTAAGACAGAAAATAATATGATTTGTTACCCTCATTACAATTTCCCAATATATGAAATTCTAAACTCAGGGGTACAATAGTGTTATCTGGTGGCAGATGGTACAAGAACATCATGGGGTAATGACCCTCCAGTATGCTGAGGCACCTTGGAGTTTACCCACCCTGACATGGGTATGGGGTGGTGGAGGTGAACTCTTGCAAGTTTTTTTGAACCACTAAATTTGCTTTAAAATGAGAATATTTTATTCATATTGCTCAATTGACAAAATAAGGTAGGTGTTTAGTAACCAGATTTGTCTAGATTTTACAGCTGTTTTTAATTGGCTTTGGTGCCCAAACTAGACCCTAATTCCTCAGTTGGTGTTTCTCTGTAGATTTCAAGACAAGGTAGTGATGTCATTCCCCCCCAAGCTGTGGGGTAGATGCAGTGGGGCCCTGGGGTCCCTCGACACTCCTGCAGTGGCCCCTGGCAATGAAGTACCTGATGACAGGTCCCAGGGAACACTACTTTTACTGTTTTGTGCCCGGGTAGAATCTGTACACCAATTTAGCAGTCTTATTGACAGACATACACTTTTTTTTTTTTTTTGCCATGAATGTGCAATTAAAAGTGAAAGCTTATTTTTTACCAAAAGTACCTTTGAAGTACTTATGGAAAGCACGTGTTTGTTCATGAAAATCATGTGTGACGTGTTCATATGTATCATGGAACTCTGAGAATAGTGTATTTTGATTATTAGTGCTTTAACTTTATTGATTATGCTTAGGTTAAGGTATATAATAACCTATTTGTCACATTTTAAGAAGTGATCTAAATCTTAAACATATCCAGCAAATGGTGTTTCTACGGAGACTATAAACTGAAAGGCCTGTAGCTCCTGGCAGCCTGCTCTGTCTGTGCAGCCCTGCCCTTGTGGAATCAGTAATAAAGTAATGATGTTTATGTAAACCAAATGGTGTCATTCCTGTTTCTCAAAATAAACTTACCTGTTCATATCACTGTGAATGTTTTCTGTCTTGGAGATACAAAATGTGATGATAAATCTTCAAGTGTTCAGAATTCAGTTTGAAGTTTTAGCCTAATTTTTACCTGACCTTCACTGGGACTTTGACCTTCTCATGAGTTCATGCTTTTCCTCCTGTAACTTCGTACATGTGTTGTTTGTATGTGTAGAGATGGAGGTGCCATAGGGTAGCACCAGCTCACCTGCTCTGTACACTGTCACCCACTTGGCACTCCCTTCTGACCAGGGACCTCTCAGTGAAGGGTATGAGGTCAAAAGTGTGTGGGTGGAAAAGGCTTTGTGAACCACTGTGATCCAGTACTCCTAGAATGCACAGTGCTTTACCGAGGTCTTCACTGGCCTCATCTCCCCCTGTAGCTGTGTGAGTGGTTGTGTCTAACATGAGCACGGTGCAAGCTACACTCACTCAGCCACCACTTGTTGGTACCAAGTCAGAGCCTGGGCCTGGCTCACTGAGTGGCCCATACCAACATCCCACTGCATGAGTATACCGCCTGGCTCATGCATTGTTCACTGAGAGAGCAGATGATAAACTGGGCAAGTTACTAGAACAGTCATGAATTCTGGAATCTCTTGAGGGGAGATTGGGCAAAATCAACCATAAACCTCCATCTGATAACAGGTATCCAGGTAGAAAATAGCTCTGCCTTTGACTGGGATGTGGACGCTTCAGCTTGACCTTGTTATGATCACTTGTCACTATGCTTTCTCTTTTGGTAGAGAAATATTTCTCTGTACCCGTGTTTTTTGTTGTTGTTGTTTTGTTTTTTAAATTGAAATGCAACAGGCCAAGGAGTTGAATGATTCAGGAGCAGCAGCACTGAGTACATTTTTTTGTGAAAGGGAAGGCTGACTGACCCTGGAGGCCCTTGGACTATGCCTAGCTTTATTTTTACTTAGCACAAACCTGTTGTTATTCTCAGCATCCCATAGTCTCCTTGGGTATTGCTGGAGTTGCTTCCACACAGCTAGTCATAGCGGCCGTTCAGTGTTCATTTCCTGCTAGACACTGTGCTAAATAACCCATGACTTCTTGTTTTGGGTTTTTTTTTGAGAAAGCAGGATTTATTGAAAGGACAGAAAAACTCCCACAGTGGGAGGGGACCTGAAGGGTTGCCTGTTTTTTTGTTTTTGTTTGAGTTGGAGTCTCACTCTGTCACCCAGGCTGGAGTGCAGTGGCACACTCATGGCCCCCACAGCCTCATCCTGCTGGGCTCAGACGATCCTTCCACCTCAGCCTTCCAAGTAGCTGGGACTATAGGTATACACCACCACGCCCTGCTAATTTTTGATTTATTGTAGAGATGAGGTCTTGCCAAGTTGCCCAGGCTGGTCTCAAACCCATGGGCTCATGCAGTCCTCTCACCTCGGGCTCCCAAAGTGTTGGGATTACAGGTATGAGCCACCGTCCCTGACCCAACTTCTTGTCTTTGTACTGAAAACTTGAATGAAATATGCACTGTTGATTTCACTCAACAGTTGAGAAACCTCAGGGCTCAGAGAGGTTTTGATGTGCTTAAGGTGGCATAGCTCATGAGCAGCTACACCTGTGTCTGGGTGCAGTCTCTGACATTAGAGCTGGGCTCTCAGTTGAAAGTGTTTAGCAATAAATACAATGTCTTAGTTCATGTGGGTTGCTAAAACAAAATACCTGAGACTGGGGCATTTGTCAAGAACATTAATTTTTCACAGTTCTGGAGTCTAGAAGTCCAAGACCAAGGTGCTGGCGGATGCATGTCTGGTGAGGGCTGCTCTCTGCTGCTTGGACGGCGTGTATTGTATCCTCCAAAGGCAGGAAAGCTTTGTCCTTACATGGCAGAGGGGACAGAAAGACAAAAAGGACCTGAGCTAGTTCCCCCTCCAGCCTTTTTATGAGGCACTAATTCATTTATGAGGGTGGAGGACACCCCACTTCGTAAAACCACCACATAGCAATTACGATTTAACAGAATTTTGGAGGACACAATCATACACGGCACCAGGCGAATAGGTTATCTCCAGTGTCAACTTGTTGTGAGTTCTGCAGGCAGGTTTGCATCTGTCTTGTTCACTGACTTGTTCCAAGTCTCCGTGTGCCTGGCACAGAATGGCATCCCAGTGGGGGTGAGTAGATGGGTGGCACAATGGGTCTGCCAAGCAGGGCCTGGTCAGGAGATGGATGCAGACCCAAAGGGTGAATTTGCCACGATAAGGGCAGGGCTGGGAGGCAAGGCAACCAGTTCCACCTTCACACAGGGTGCTGGCAGGGTGGCCATAGGGAATGTCCTAAGTAGAGATGGTCATCACTGAAAGTCACCCAACCAGAAGGGAGAAATCCCCAGGCTTCTGGTCAGGGTGGCCTTTGGAAGGTCAACTGCCTTCTCCTTCACACTGGGGTATAGATATTGTGTGCCTCTGACAAGCCACTTGGTGCCATACTAAGTTTTCCTCTGTTAAGTATATCGCGATTGTTTTACCAAGTAAAAAGTCTTCCTTCTATACCCCTATTCGAACGTGCTCGTGTAGGCAGAAACCAAATGGAGAAGCCCCTATCTGCCCACGGACAGTCAAGTTGCAGAGATCTCCCATTCCATCAGGCTGTGGCTTGGTCGAGGACCGGGTCACATGTGCGTCTCGGGATCTTCCCTGTGCAGGCTTCCCATGGTGGCAGGGGTCATGTGGGGTGTCAAATGTGTGGACCCCACACCCCACTGTGCTTCGGCAGAAAGAAAGACAATGGGCTCATTACAAGTAGAGCAGAGGTGGGGGTGCCAGGGAGACTCTAGCCCAACCCACCTAGCAGTCCAGGACCCAGATGTCATCTGGTGGGGGAGCTCCCAGGAATAGCCATTGTACCTCAGATGCCCCTCCCTGGAAGTCATGGCCAAGGAGATGGGATGACAGGGGCCGCCCCACTTGGGTCTAAGTACACAAGAAGCTCAGGCCTGCTGCCTGCATGGTGGGGCTCCCTGAAAACCAGACAGCCCACTTCTCTTCAGAAATCAGCACTTTTGACCTCATGTGACACATCGAGAGCCTGGCTGCTGGGACTGGGGGTCCCTGAGCCGAGAGGGGAACAGCAAGGGGAGAGTGGGGCTACCTATGAGGCTGCCCAACCTTGTCACAGATACACTGCTGGCCCTGCGGGCATGATGACTGCTCACCTGAGTACACAATGTAAACCACTGTGCCCAGATATTCATGATGTATGATGCTCTCAGTTCACCTCTGCCTCTACTAACCTGCTTCCTATTCTGCTCTGGTGCAGAAGCTTATCAAATCAATATTTCTCTTTCTGAATAACTTTCTTTTTCAGTTACTAATATGCTATGTACATTACTATTTTAGGAACAAAAATATACTGGGCTAATCATGTTTAAAATACAGCAATGTGAAAAATTCAGAAATCTTTTTTTTTTTTGGTTGACTCAACGCAAAGTATCTGGAATTGACTGCAAGGTGTCCAGGGCCTGGAAGCCATCCCTTCAGCATGACCTGAGCGCCAGCCAGCGAGAGGAAAGGACCCACACCCTTCCTGCTGGGAAAACAGCCAGATCCCCAGAGCACAGGCGCCAGTTCAGTGACTCTTGACTTTCCACATTGGCAGCCCCAGATGTGGTTCATTTCGTTTCTCACAGCATGTGTTTTCCTTATACCATCGCACTGTTTCACGTTTTCAGGTCGCACTCCAGTCCATCTGAAGCCTTGCATTTCCTGTTACTTCAGTGTTTTACACCTGCAACCTCAAACCAGTCGAAACAGCCCCAAAATTAACCTGAAGTTAAAATTCTCCATTATTACAGAAATGTATTAAATGTCAAAGTTTCAAACTGAGGAGTCCCTGCCAAAACTTTACATAGAAAACTTTTCCAGTCCCTGCACTTTCACAGTTATTTAATGTGTCGTTTTTCAAAATATATGAAATACATGAAATATATGAAATACATGAAATATATTTTGTATATTCAAAATATACAAAATATATGAAATACAGAATCCCAATTGGAACATGGCACATTTCAACCACAATTTCATTTGTTAGGAGGAATTTCCAATCATTTGGTCAACCCCAGAGATTTTGTTTCCATGCAAAACAAACATGGAACACAGAACATTAGAGCCACAGAAAGTTTTTGTGCTGATATCCAGAGCCAAAACTTAGAAAGGTTGAGGCTTCCAGGGCATACTCCATTGTGCATTTCCTGTAATTTCAGATTGTCTCTAAAGCAGGTAGAAAGAGTAAAGCTCAGGAGAAAACTCTTTCACTCAACATGGTTTTTACACTTTAATCTGAAATTTGCTGTGGGACTGGAGTTGGCCCACAACAGGGTACTGGCAATGTTAACTTTGGTCACCTGATTAAGGCATTGTCTGGTTCCTCCACTGAATTTTTTCTCGTTTGTTAAGTGCATGGGGGAAGATCTGCTGAGGCTGAGAACATCTTGTTTGTCCACAAAACCACCTCCTGCCCCAGGTTGGCCTCCACTCATCTGAACCAACTTTTACTGCAATGGTTCAAAGTGTTCAGTTTCTAACTCCATTATACATCCTATATTTATTAGCCAGGATTCTACTATAAAGAAGAGCTTTGACTGGGCACGGTGACTCACGCCTGTAATCCCAACACTTTGGGAGGCCAAAGCAAGAGGATTGCCTGAGCCCAGGGGTTCGAGACCAGCCTGGGCAACTTGGTGAGACCTCGTCTCTATAATCAAAAATATTAGGCGTATGTGTTGGCACTCACCTGTAGTTTCAGCTGCTTGGAAAGTTGAAGTAGAAAGATCGCCTGAGCCTAGCAGGTCGATGCTGCAGTGGCTGTGAGTATGCCACTGCACTCCAGCCTGGGCGACAGAGTGAGACTCCAACTCAAAAAAATAAATAAACAAATAAAAGCTTCAGAGCTGGACTCGGAGGTGGCTCACACCTGTAATCCCAGCACTTTGGAAGGCAGAGGCGGATTGCCTGAGCTCGGGGGTTTGAGACCAGCCTGAG